ATTCATCAGAACGAATGACTAATAGGCGATATTTTGAAAGCTGTCATCATATATACTTCAGAATCCAAAAGAAACAAATGTGCAGCGACTAATAATGTCCCAAACGTATGCAGAGTCAAATGTAATCAAACATCCGGTAGCTTGTTTTGATAGTTATCTGGTTTCGTATACAACTGCGGTAGCTCGAAAGGATACAAGTGTGCCTAATTGTGTGTTAATTAGTCCTTCCGCCACAGGGGGCACATGGAATATCGAACCCCAAGCAGTAAATCTGTATTTCCTCACTCAGCCTAAGACAACAGAGCAAAACACCATGGACTGATGCTATTTTTTAGTCTGCTAGCCAATAAGCCTTTACCACTCTGAACCAACTTCACTTAACATTGTGCGATGAGACAAACATGCGTAACACATGTCCTAGATACCTCAGTTGATGAAGGACTAACACAACGTGTTCACATCAGATCAAACCAGTTGTATAAAGAGACTTACACTAATCCGATAACCTACTAAACAATGAGTACATTGTGGTGGAGTCTGCTGCCTCCCATAACACATCTGTGAGAAACAGCTCGCGTAGGAAGGAGATATGAAGAGATTGTAACTTATTGATAAGTGTGTGCGAAACATTTTTCGAGCGAAGACAAATTGATAATATAATAATAGATATTTTATTCTCATATTAGTAATTTAACATGAGAAAAGCCAGTTTACAGGTATGTTGGGAAATGTACAAGATTTTACGGGACCTGAATGGTATAGAAGGGAGGTCATTAAATTCGATTAAAAACATCAGAACATTCCACAAGTTATGAAATGAACAAGAAAATACCACTTTTCAGCATATACAGATTATTAAAGTTTAGATCGTTTTTAGTCATACTTTCTCTTTTCACCAGTGGTGGGACCAAGTTAGCGCAAAATTTCAAATTTCCATTACAAGCAGTCGACACGTTTCATTCGTCTTCGCAATGCCCCATTACGTCTGTTTTACCATAAATTCTTTGCTTATAGCTTCGGAGACCAAAAGAACCCACACTGACGATTTGGGGAATCTGTTAGTTTCCACGTAATCATGTAATCCATGTTGTTTATCGGTCAGAATCAATACATATACTGGGATTACTGCATGCCAGTTCAAGTCTCTACATATCATATTGGCACAAAAATTGACAAGTCAACAAGAAAACAAACAAGAAACGAAAAGGAAAGCAGAAGGATGTCGTAAAAAGAGAGGAAGGAGGAATGAGACAACAATGGAACTTGGGGTGAAAATTAAGATAAAGATAATGTATGGATGTATATAAGCCGTTGAGATTCATTCAGAGCCACAAAACTAACTTACAGTCAGTCTCCAATCGTCTATTTTGTTTGTCACGCCGACGCCAACCAACAGGCCTATATCTCCCCACACAGCTCAGAACAATAGTAAAAACTTAATAGAGTGATGCCATGTTCTAGTCTGCTTGCCAATAACCCTTTACCGGCCTGAACTGACTTTCACCTAGCGTTGTGCGATGAGACAAACAGTAAACGGGCATGCTTAACACATGTCCCACACACCTCAGTCAATGAAGGCTCACAACCTCATCAACTGACTTCCCTCTTCTGCTCAAAACTCTACACCTGACATGTTTGTTACTGACGTGGTGACACCACATCACTCGGGATAATACCACCACTACACCTGAAGCCCTCTCATGTCCTCTGAATTTAATGGTCACTTTTCATAGTCATATAGTAGAACGAGACGTCCTGCAGCGCGGTACACTCGACTTTTAATAGGCAACCACATATTATGGTGGAAACAGCAATGGGGTAAATTGATGAAGGTCGAGCGAGCAGAGATTTTGTCGTTCACTGATTTACCAGTGTTGATTTGACTTACCAAGTGTGTGAAGTGGTCAACGCGTTCAAGCACTTCACGCTCTAATGTTAGACAGCACGAAACCAAGACTATTCTCGGATAAAAAAAGATTGCATCTGGATGGTGAGAAAAGCATCCCAAACATTCTCAACTTGGCATGTAGGGTGTGCAGAAGACTCTTCATCTTGTCAGCATCTTCACTTGATAAGACTGTGTCACTTGTGTAATATAAGTCTGTTGAGTATCCTGTGGCACGGATAATCCCTATAAGCGGACGAAGAGATGGTGACCTCCATTTCAAAGTTTAATCAGAATGGAGTGGATATCCTTGACGGGCTCCACTCGATGTGCACAACACACCTAATAACTCACCATAGGCTTTAACGAGCCAATGAATATTCCAGCACATAGCTTTCAAGAGGGTTGTACGATTTCCAGTGAGAAACACTGTCATAAGATCTCCGAAACGACGTAGTCAAATGCCGCATTCAAGTAGAGAAATATAGCTACTGTCAGATGTCGGTGTGTGTCTGAGTTCCAAAACTTGGTAGAGAGTGAATTATTGGTCAATGCACCCAAGATTAAGTCTGGAACAAGCCTGGTGTTCCTATATTCCTTGTTTCCAGGCCTGATTTAGGCGCCTGCTGATTACAGAACCTAGAATTTTAAACACTGTATTCACCAGACTGACTCCTCTATGCTTATCATACGAGGATTTCTCATCTTACCTACAGACTGAGACTTCAGCGACATCATACGCTAACTGATACTTCAACTAGCTCGACAAATAATCGTCGACTACCACCCTAAATAAGTCCGCTACTAGCCAAATTTTACTGCTCCCCCCATTTCAGGTTACTTTCGGCTTTCTAGACTTCTGCAAGAGTTACAGGTAGTGACTCAGTGCTCTATTCAGGGTAAAGAGCTTTCAAATAGTAGCTGGTGACCAGTTACAATGTTCATCGAAGTGTTCCGTTCATCATTCCAGTCTTTTTCTTTGTAAATGAATTGCAGACTCATCCTTCTGTGCTATGGTCTCACTAATCATTGGCACGTCCCCACTTTCAGTTTCTTTGGTCAGTCTCAATAACTGTATACGCCCCTACTTTCTCCATGTCTTTAGCTTACGCTGTCCATTGCTGCCCACGGTCACGGTAGAGACCTTATTTCCGCCAACATTTTAGCTGCTCCCGCTCCCCATAGTGTTCAGATCTTGTAGCCGTGAGCTCCCATGCATTCAATAACTCAGCAGAAGCCTATAATCTCTACTAACCCTATCCAACCTTTTACTGGGGATCAGTTACGATCGTTGCGATATACAGGCCTGATCATCACACCATTAGAACAGTTATCGGTTGAGTGTGAGCAGTATCGAGGTTAGGCGCGTAGGGTAACAGACAAGGAAGGCAATTTATTAAATCAATCTGTGAATATCTATTAACTGAGACGGCTTGAACATTTGCCGCTCATGTGCAGCCATACAGTGTTTCAGTGAGTATTGCATTAGACGAAGGCTAGCAGTGGTCAAAAATGACGTGGTCCCAGTCCATGAAATGTTTGACTGTTGGTCTGAGTAATGTAGTAAGAAAGAGATAACTTGGGTGGGGTTCTCGGAATGTCAATAACTAATGGTTACGAGCTCTTGGAGACATGGTTGGAAATTGGTCACAATGACGTTGATGTGTACATATTCTTTGTCGTCGTCAGTCTTGAATATTCTCCTTATTCTTTACCTACTTTCTTAATCCCTAATACACTTTAGTCTACCTCAATATTACTTTTTGCATCCACTTCTTCTTTGCGTGCTGCTGTGAAGTGTTGCGATTTGGACCGATGCACTTTTGTGTAAGGTTCAACATTGCTTTTCCTGCTTCTGTACTAACCTGATAAACTGGTTGTATGAACTGAAGTGCTTTTTAAACTTACCCTTATCTTTATTCAACTGAATTAATTGTTACTCTCAATGATTTTGATCGTTTTGGGTTGATCAACAGTTATTTCTACGATAACGTCATTCACTACGGAGTCCAACATAGGCAATTCTGTTAAGACACTTGGAGTCAAGCTTTGTCACCCCTCAGTGTGTGCATCAAGACACAGATCATATAAAAGGTTATTTTGACCAAAACTCCATAAGGTGTCACATACAAGATTTTAGTGTAGTATCGCCCATCAGTTGTTCATCTGAGAGCGCTAAAACTGTTTTATGAGTTGTACGGCAACGTTTTGAGCACCATCGTCAGAAATTTGCTACTCAGTTGGAACTTTACTAAAAATTAATTTTAAGATGGGAAGATTGAAGTGGAATAAGTAAGTAGTGAGAGAAACGGTACTTCTACGTTATCCATCGATGGTAACATAGATATATAGAAACATCAACTAAGTGACAATTCCACCGACATCCTAAACAGAGAGTTATAAGCTGAGAGCACTAAGTAGCTCAATAAAACGTCAAACCGAGGTAAAACTGAGACTAGATAACCACTGTGTGAATTAAGATTTCGCTTGCAGAAGAATGAAAAATGAAATGCAGTGTATGGTCGATACTTACACTAACATATTATGGTACCTAGATGTCTAAGTGACTGAAAAGCACCAATAATCATCGGTTATTTAGGGAAATGCAACTCAACGCAGAACAGGTGTATGTACTAGGCTGTGAATCAAACAATGTCTAAAGGTTCATGATACTATCTATTAGCCAAGACAAAAATAAAACAGGGTTGGACTCGAGCAATAAACTTATTGCTTGAAGGTTGTTTACCAATGGACCCCATCTAAAAACAACCTAGGAACATGAATACAACGCAGTAGTGGGCTTCCATGAGAACCAGTCTTTGGCGTCTGACATGGGTGTGTATTATATAAAGTATGCAGAAACCATGAGACTATGAAAAACTTAGACCTTTCATCTTTAATGATGTATAACTGCAAGTAGAAATATATACTTGTATTCGGGCATAAAATATTGAGAATCACCCGAATCATAACTGAGAATTGGTTATTGATAAATCGGTGCACAGTTACAATTTCATACTATCACTACTACTACTGTAATTATTTTTCAAAATCAATAACATAACGAACTATTAATCAAAGACTGATATAAGGGAAAATATAACTAAATGTTTACCTGGTAAGAATTTGTAAAGCCCGGATGGTCAAGGTCATGCGATACTGCAGAGAATAACAGAATAAGCAGATTCACTGGGGATAAGTACAGTTGCAAGTTTATTGTCTTTATGATACAATACATCTACAGTAAATATAGAGAAAAAATCAAAACAAAAGAGAAAACAGATTATGAGAATTCATAGTAAAACACAGTATTTAAAAAAACTCTGAAGAAAAAAAACCAAACAACATAATATTGCATAATGTACCCAGTCAAGATGAAGGTTGATGTGAAGCTGTTTTTGGGTTGAAAATTATCATTCAATATTTGTACAAAAAACTTTTCCGACTATTAGACAGAATGTCGTTGAATAGAAGAGATAAAAAAGGGTTGAAGAATAACTATATATTGATAGATTGCTGAGAAGGAGTGTAAACTATTATTGTTCAAGAAAATATCAATTTCGATAATGGAGAGAAAAACGACTTAACATTAAGCTTGGAATTATTATTGAGGGGTTTCATCACAAATACATCGATGAGGAGAATGCCGATTAACAGTTTAGATGCACTTACTGATGAGAAACAGACATAAAATTCAACGAAAAATAGGAGATAGCATTGCAATGCAAAGCCGCAATTCCACACGAGTAGATCAAAGCAAAAGGTGACAAAATGGAAGACAATGAAAATGATAATATTAGGACTTGTAGAAGTGCCATGAGATAAAGAGATAGAAGGGAAAATAAATGCACATTATAAAACAAACTAGACGAAATATCAATGTAAAAGCACAAATGCCGCTCATTTCGAGGCATGTTAATTGGTCAGTTGTTACACATACCCCCAAACAAGGATTCTACACAGTTCAAAATAACAGTATTAGTCTCCTTTCTCTATAATTCCTTAGAATCCAATCTTTCTTCAGCTAATACCATGTGTCAGAGTAGGTGGCGGGGTCAACAAGCATAACATGTCAAAGACACCTGAGTCGATGAAGGTTAACAAACGATTTATTTTTCTTAACTAACCTCCAAATTGGTACTGAGACAGTGTTTAAATATTTGAAGTCTTCCCATTTCCTTAGTTTTAGTGGCCGTATCGGACACCAATAAGCTGCTGGTATAACAGACTCAACACTTAAATGATATGACATATCTCATTGGTGATTCATGTAGTTTAATTTGACGAAAACCAGTCAGATTTTGATATCGAAGTTAAGATTTCGGCAACCACTGATTCACCAAGGATGAGTAATCAATGAGACAGACCATCTTCCTCACTATCATCAGATGAAGTATCAATGTATGCTAGACGTAAAGCAACGGTTTGAATTTAGACGATGGGAAATGCACCCCAAGTAGTTAGTGAATTATTTCCTAATGTTAAGAAGACAATCTATCTTCATCTAAGAAGACTGGCTTCTGCATATTCGAGTTTGATGATGGAATTTCTAACAATGGGGAGGGGATTAAGTTATGTAAGACCGAACGAAGGGAGAGTGATCTTCGTCGGGACTTCTATGGGAAGAAAGTTAAACGAAAGTGAAAAGATTGGAAATTCACGATGAATATCAGTTAACAAAGGCAGCTTCAGCCGGTAGCTCAAGATGAGAAGGAGACAACATAGCCCTGTTACGTAAAACTGCAAACTGATAGCTATCCATGATGCAAATGAAGAATAGTGATACCTGAGTCACTGGAGTGTTTCTTTCTTGGATTGAAAAGAGACGAAAATCACCGAAATCTTCTAACAACAGACAAGGAAGAACTGATAAAGGATAAAATTACATTTGAACGACATGAACGTACAAAATAAGTGAAAAATTGTTGGTATGGTTCAGAATTTCACAGATGATGAAATGAAAATACAACTGAAACACTGCGACTTCCAACAACTAAATTCCGGAAATTCTGAGGGTGAAGCCATATCATAGATCACCCATTGTAAAGTAACAGTACCAATCATATGACGACATGGCATATAAACATGAAGAGTCTTCCTATAAGAATAAGCCACGTAGGGAAGAAACTACAGGCTCTGTGATTGATATCTATAAGACAATCAAAATAGACAGCTAGAGAAATCATGCAATAAAGAGCAAAATCGATTTCAATGATACGGAAGTAACCAAACTTAATGTAAGATTAAGATACACGTTGGAACTTGTGGACCGGTAGGAACATAAAAAAGGAGGTGACAAATTATGATGTAAAATAATACTACCTACGCAAAAGGCTGTAACCTGATACAAGAGTTTTCAGAATAATAATACAGATTATAGTAGGCTTCCTTTTAAAGTTTCCGCTGATACGCGACATAGATTCAAAATGTACAACTCACCAACCATGTACACATTTATGTACTAGACGATAATCAAAACGCTATGATGACCGATGATACTACTACTTGGTTGTAGAAACCATGGTAGAGATTGGGCTCAAACTCGTATCCGACTGGTTGAAAGCCAACCACGTTGGTTAATAAGCCAGATAAATGAGCGATAAATGGTTCAAGTAAGATACAGTATTGATGTTAAGTAGCATGAGAGGTTGATCAAATCAACCAAGTCATTTTCGATTGCTAATCTAGAAAGGGCTGTAAACCTGATGAATGTAGCAATGTTTTGCATCTGATAGGCCAGAAAACCATCAAAAAACCGAAAGTCTCAACTCAAGTTGCTTAGAAGACTGTGAGCTGTGTCAGAAACTTCACCTAAATATATTATGCCACCCACACACTTCAAATAGATGAGAATATCTCAGAGTAGTAGGTCAACCATTAAGAAGTTTGGGGAAGCACATCTGTGATTTGAATAAAAATGTAAATAGTACGTAAGCTCAATAAATACGAATTACAATTATTTTTCTAAGTGACAGCAGACCATAACTTCCCTGAGTACATGAGTGTTTGGATAGACAGCCCTCATACTTGTGAAGTACTCCAATAACACCCCCTGTTAATGGTAAACGTCGAAAAATGTAAGGTGTCATAGTCAACATAGAGGAAATTCACCTTGAAAGTCTAAGAATACGATTAGTGTGGGTGTCGGTGAGAGTACACTTGTTTTCTAGAATCTGATGAAGAAGAGAGATTTGATGGATGGATTCAAAAAGAACTAGTTTTTTTGAAATTTAGGTTCGTGTAAATTGATAGGAGTAGCATGGGCTACGAAACCATTCTGGTGAAGCTGATTGCTCCATAATTATTATTCCAAGATCCTGCTCGATGCTTTTTAAATTGCATTGATCGGAGATTCAAATTAGTCGAAGGAAATTATGTCTCTCTTTGACTCAATAATATTTTAAGATTATTCTACTTCATGGAGAAAACTATAGCGTGTACTAATCGATAGGGGTTGAAGTTATTCAAACCGAGATCTTGACCCTTCAAATTTTGCTTATTGGAGTGGTGCACTGACATAACGGTCATTTTTAAGCAGGAAAACACACTGAACTCATTTAGTCGATGAGTCTAAAGACGAATCATGTAGAAATCAAGACAAGAGGAAAACTAAACAACAAAACAGGCATAGACTTGTACTAAGCTTTTTCACATTGGATTTGAAAATAGAAACAGATGGATGAGTTGAGAAAATCACTTTTTCGGTTAACAAACTTATAACAAAATACAAGTTGCTATCCGCCTTCATTCTTATCAGATCACTTAAACTCTAAGGCACCCTCAGAACTATTCTTCTCTAAAAAAAAAAGAGTACAGACGATTAGTTTAAGTGTGCCTAATTTGTTTTTCATCTCGATTACCAAGAAGAAGGACAGGCAGAGGGAATAGCAAGTTATGTGTTGGAAGTAGGCAGTCACAAAATGCTGCAAAAATACACTCAGTTGCTGAATCTTAATTTACTGTTGATATTATGAGTATTATTATTACTATTACCAAATCACATAAAACAATGTTATTATGACGACGAAATATTTACGTAGGGAAGAAAATTACGTACAATAGGCAAAACACTAAATAGTTAGCGCAGGAATATAACAACAGTATGACGCGATGGTTTGCCATGCTGTGCGTAAATATCAAAATACAAGGTTACGATGACTCATACTATTGCATAAAACAAACCAGTAATAAATTAACTACAAATGTTGGGTTGCTCAGTAATGACATAGAAAACATAAGATAACGTCACCAACGCTTCAAAAAAATTAGAAGGATATATTGGAAAGACGTTGGTGTAAATTTAGTCTATACCAGTAAGACAATGTGGACATTGCAAGATGCGTAGGTAGATAATTTGTAACATGTGAACAGGAAACTTCAGCCATCTTCATAATACCCATCCTAACGCAAATGACGTGAATTAGATCAGAAAAAATGAAGGGTGGAAAGCAAACAAACAACTATATGATGCGTTCTGAAAACTAATTATGAAAATTTTGAATCATTAAGTTAGTAGGAATAGGGATACTAAAAAACAACTAACTCAATGACTAAACAGGACTATTTTCCAACATTATCGAGTCATTATTTGAAAAACGTCTACCATATGATTGAGTGAAATTGTGACCCAGTTAAGTATATCAGCTCAGCAGATCGCATATTGATATACCATCAATCTGGAAAACTCGAGGTCAGTGGTTGAAATCCTCATGGAAACAGTTGTTATTGGAAAGCAAGTAGAAGGTTGAAGAATGAAAGATTCAACTAAAACACAGGTCGAAATTTACAATACAGCACTTTTCACTTCTCAAACCCAACTATAAAAATGTCAACCAGTCTTAAACACGACTGATCAAGATAATCAATTTTTTGGTTCTCATGGTTTAGTTAGAACTAACACACCGAAGATATGTGCAATCAGTTACAACTCCTATTGTCTTAGCTGTAGCTCACTGTTTTAGACAGCTGGTAGTCACGAGTTCAAATCCCACTTCACCTACTGAGGTGCGAGAAGCCAGGTAGTATAATTAATCCTCACACAACAAATATGGATCATTGTCTACTACACAAACGTGCACATAGTTGATGAGTGCTTTTCGGTTTCGAAGGTCAGAGAACACCAAACCACCATCATTCTCATTTTGAGCCAAAAATTGTTTCCATCATCTCTACATACAATCATTGACAGACGTAATCTAATAACTTAGTAAAGATTTCGAAAGTCGTATTATCACTATGCATGCTTTATGCAAATAGTGGATATCGTTTGTCGACGGTATGGCAGATAATTTTTTAGCCTTTAGAGTGAACCTTTCTATGCTTGAATTTCATTTCGATTCAAAACTATTTATCTAACGAATCTCAAAACATGTTGAATGCATAGTCTGAACACCTATACTTTTTAATGGCAAAAGTAATGCAAGTTGAAAAAAAATTGAATCAAGAACAGAGTTAAAAATAAATTGTTCAGTGATCAGAACGAAACGATATGGATGCATCTGCGCCTTAGAGATTCACTTTAAACCATGATCTCTTAAAACTGATGAAAAGCTTAATTTAGATTCGAAGGAATATAATTCAGACAGCTTAGCCACTGAACCTTGATGAAAAATTATCAGTTCAGTTTATTATGTTTCTGAAACATGTATAAGTGACTAGAGGAATAACCAAAATTAAAGATATCAAATAACGGAATCTAGTTGTTAAAGATCTGAAAGAATATCATAATTACAGCAAATCATAACGTGAGACAAAGTTAAGAGCTATTATAAAGTAGGAGGTTTGTGGTGAACTAAACCTGTACTCTTGTCACATGGCATGTGAGGTAGAATTTAGGTACTTGAAGCTTCAGATTGGTCACATTGAACCACTTATGGTTAGCCTGGAATACATATAGAGCTGCATAGACGAAAGAAATTAGCTGCTAGATATTCTAGACGGATATTATCTAGGTTACTCGAAAAAAGACACTTTAACCCATTAAACCCAAGCAAATTACAAAAGCAATGCAATGAGAACCAATAAATAAACCACTGTCCTGACTGAGTTGATCAAGCTGAATCCAGAAACATTTTTTGCTTATAAATAGCCCTAACAGTCATATTGATTCCCTTCAAGTCCCATCAAATTAATGTGATCTACATAAGGAATGCAATGCTTTATTCGAAGTGAAATAGTTTGGAGCATGCATGAGCTGAACTGTAGGAATTTTCAAGCATTAGGATGCACAGTATCCATTTCACAAACTTATCAAGAAGCTCTATAAGTAACCTTCATTTAAAAGACCCAGCTACTATTCATCTCGAAGGGGATTAAAGCAATGAATATTCAGGTCTCCTACTCATAGGTGTGCGCTTGAATTTATTTAATGTACACTTACATTCGAAAATTCATTGTTCTTAAAACTACATTCCCGATATTGATCAAATAGCTAGTCAGCACGAATTCTAACTCGCAAAATACTAGTTATTCATGTTTCTTTCTCTGTATGAATAAAATTACATCAAAGTAGATTTTCAACAATACTTACCATTTGTGTGACCATGAATGCATGTTTAAAGTTATGAAATGGTACGTTATTGTATCGTGAATAGACTGAAAATAACCAGTTTTCTAATATATCAACAGAGAAATGACACAAATCCGGTAGATTTAGATCCAAAAACATAAATTTAGTAAAATTGATCAACTCAGAATCCGAATATAGCCAATTATTGAAGGAATGGGACTTCAACTGATCTTTTATTGACGGAGATAGTGGCAGAGAACTATTTTATAAAATGAAAAAGGAAATAACATCGGTGTAAATGAGTATATATATCCATTTACATAAGTTATGATCAAATTGGGATCAAATGGCTGACAGCCAAATACCTAAATTACTGAGTCAAAACTCCGAAGTTATCAAATGTAGATTGTCAAGCAGAGGTTCAAACCTTCATATAACAAATATAATTTGCAATCTAATTAGTTTTAACAGAGATGACGGACGCACTGTAAAAAAGACAATGAAGAATTGTTGGATTTTCCAGTTACGATAATAGATAATTTATCACCACTTGTGCATTTGAAAAATTTATTTGTGGTAATTAGTAAGTAATCGAATCTTCACATTGTTTTTCAGCGAAAATCTGCAGTGCAGGTTGTTAAACTACTCAAAAAGACTACGTGGATGACAGAATTATTCAACAAACTGTTCTTCTACGATATACAGACTAGGAATCTTGCCACTCTGACGTTACGTTAGGTGATATGAGAAGAATTTGTATACGTGAGATGTATGCTTCTCGTAAAACTCGGAAATGTATTGATGAGTATTTTTATAAGAGGAGTTGGCATTAGCTTAATAAAACCCGGATTTTAGTGAGACACTGGCATCTTTTACACATTCAAGTGAAAGTCTATGGACTACACCTGATTTTCGAAAGCCTATCCAGTAAATCCGGCAACGTTACAACCAGTGACATATTACTTTGTAGTCGAAGCTTACACTGGTAGGCTCATGTCTTTACAAACTACGACTGACTTACAATAAGGATAAATTACTCAAAAGAATCAGTCACCGTTCCTGCTACCAGATATCTACATCATGAATATCAACATAGGACCAGGCATTACTGCGTAACCCTCCGAGTTGCTACACCTCATATCAGTACATCAAGTAAGAAGGCAGTGAACTGCAAGATGAAGATAAGGAAATTCAGTCTAAAGAAATATAAACTGCTAAAAGAGAGAAAGGAAGAATGAGAAAATGGTGAGATTCGGTATGGTGTTAAGATGAGGATAATATGTGTATACATTTGCACCACTGACATCGGTTCTGAGCCATATCACCTAGTCTCTAACCACTGGTTCCTCTTGTCACGCGGATCACAACCGGGTAGTCTACATAGCCCCACATGGCTCAAACCAACAGTCAGAGACTTCATACATTGATGTCATGTTTTCGTCTGGCCATCTCGAGCCTTTTTCCAACCTGAACCTACTTCGGACCACTTATCTACAGCTGAAATATGACTGAAAGAGGACACATATGGGTAAAATAAAAAATATAAGCCATCAGAACGTCCTTTCCCAAAATCAGTTTAAAAAGAGGAACTACTTTTGGAAGAAAATACTTACTGGCTGGACAAGCATAAGAAAGTTGAATAGAGAAATCCTAGTAACACCATGTATTTTATCACATAAACAACCTTAGAAGACAACTGATCTTAATATTTCACACTTAATATTTCAGATCCCAGTGACTGCTTGGGATAGTGATTTCCTTAAAAATTAACCAGAAACAAAAAATGGAATATTCTCAGAAGAACTATGTTCACTAGAGATTCAAACAGTAAATATGTGAGATGTGCATATATGTCAATTTCTTTGCTACGAACTAAATAGACAGGAGTATTCAACCTTATTACCAAGTGGTTAAATGTCATCGAGCATAAAAAGGAAACTCTGCCTCCAATAGTGAAAATTTACTTGTCTCATGTTTACTTCCGTATCACCCATTACTGACTATTCGTGATTTGAATGTCAGATAATAACTACTTTACATTTACCATATTTTGCATATAAGTGACTGTCACAACCCACTAATGTTCTGGATGTAGTTCTTATTCTCGAATCCCCATATTGTTGAAAATATACACAGCCAATAGGCTTATAGTTCTCTTCATGGATTTCATTCAGTTTGGATTGGGAGACAGGGGGAGGGTGAAGAGTCACTGGTTGATCACAATGCATTAGTCGTACTAAAACTGACCATCAGTTCAGTGTAAAATTAACCTAGACATCAGAGCGGCAGAATCTGTCGAAATATGTTCCAGTCATCGTTACAACACTGAAAAGTAAGTGTCTAAACCATCAAGTTTGATATGTTCTAATATAATTTCACTTCAATTGTCAGATCGTTAAAAAAGCCAGGGAAATAAATCAGTTCAAAAAGATGTAGAAAACAACAGCAAGTTACTCACCGAATGGCTAGAAATTGATTCCTTACTTTGGTAAAATGTACAAAAGGTAGTTTAATACGTTCTGGATCAGGGCAATAAGGGTTACCGGAGACTTCAAAAGTGTTGCTAAAATGCTGAGAGTTAGACTGAGAGACTGCCTCATTATGGTTTTCCAAGTTGTAGGAAATGTCCATATCACGAGTTCCTGTGTTTTTGTCAGTTCCATCATCATTGTTATGTGAGATCTTAGAGGAAATAGTCGAAAAAAGCCAAGCAGTACACTTTGTCGGTAAGTGGGTCTTATTGTTCGTATTATCCTTTGCAGGTGGTGTACGAGATGACTTTAAATGACAACGGCCTAACCGCTTGAACATCTATAGAAACAAATACAGAGACTGGTATAGACAAGAACGAATTGCAGTGAAATATTATCTTGGGGTTAAACCAGTAACAGAATGAATAATGATACATTTGTACATACAATCACACAACCCACACGTTTGCGTAAGTCATCAAATGATAAAGAGTAATGAACTGATTCTTGGTGATAATCAGTTTCCACCAAATGAGCAAGCGAAACGTCAATATGTATACCATATTTAGACTGATTTAAGAATATGAAAGAGAAAATAGTATTATCAGATTACTAGTTATATTCGTTGACCGATGTTTAGAACTTAAACATTACTCCGGTTGACAGTCGAACACCAGTTTATTTAGCCCCAAAAACGATCACTTGTGGACTAAAACGATGGGTGTAAACACAGATTAATTGCTGCAACGAAGCGACCGAGTGTAAGTTCAAACAATATGCTGTAGATCTCTGATTTTCGATTTACACAATTTTATCTAACCGCTTAAACTTGGGTAGATAGGGCAGAATATGAACAGGGGTGTAACTCGCTATCTAGTGAGGTACATCTCCACTGAAAAACATTTGACGGCGATATGTGCATGAAATTCTGATAAAGTAAACGGTATATCATACCGAAATTTAAAAAAAAAAACATATATTCCTACCAAAGGCCTTCTACGTAATTTTAAATTCGCTCAAACGAAGTAGGTTAGATCATAACCCTGATATTTACGAAGTATTTGTAGTCATACTGAAACGTCATAATATATTTTCAGTTATTACCTCCAGGGGAAATAAGCAAGCAACCAACCAGAAAAATATTTTTCCAATTTGAAAAGTTATTCGTCTTCCGGTAGAATTATTAAAATTCACCATCTGAGGGCTTTGAGGTTAACATTTTTATGTCTCTCTTTCAATGAAAAATTTTACGCTGCCAAAGTCCAACATGTTTTGAAACACGCTCTACGTGGCTCTAGATTTCGCATTCTATTCAACATCAAAATACAATGCAACCACTGTACTTGATAATATCAGTAACAAATGCTCGACTACAACGCCATAAAAGTGTGATTCACTTGTGCTCTTGTGCATTCTGGGCATAACTAGAAATTATTCTGCACAACCCAACGTGAAGACAGACTGGAATTATTGCGCGATACAGAAGAATAAAATCTGAATTATTCAGGGAAAGACTGAAAACACTGAGAGGAAAGAAACAGTAGTTTGGGAGCAGTTAACGCTCTCCAGCATTACACCTACTTCGTGCTTATGACACAAATATAAGACGGGTTCTTCTATAACCATATGCTGTTAAGATAAGAGCGGTATGCTTCCTCGACAAGAAAAAACGAGATCCATCAGAAACCTTATTTGCATATTCCTTATGCAGATATTAACAGGAAGACCAACAAGCCTGTCGACATTTTTTATTCAATCAGAAACAACATGGAACCCGGCGCTACTGAGTAACGGTCCGAGCTGTGACACCACATATCAGCAAATCGAAGGAGACAAAAACATAAGGCAGAAAGTAATCGAAAGTGGTAGGAAGTCGCAAAGGGAAACAAGAAGGAATTTAATGGTAATAACATTCGGTACGAAGACGTGAAGATACATATGCGCCACTGAGATGGATTCAAAGCCATATCACCTACAGGTGCCAACCACTGAATCTCTTTGCTACGGCGATCCCAACCAAGAAGTCTACATTTCCTTACATGGTCCAGAACAATAGTGCAAGACACCATGTATTGATGCCATGTTTTATCTCTTTACTAGTAACCATTTACTAGTCTAAACCTGCTTCCCCTAGCGTTTTGCAATGAGACAAACAGTAATCAGGTATGCGCAACAGATGTCGATGAAGGCTCACAACCTCATCAACTGACTTCCCTCTTCTGATAAAAACCCATATCTGACGTGTTCGTTACTGATGTGGTGACACCATCACACTCCGCATAATACTACCACTACTACTACACCTGAAGCCTTCCCATGTCCTCTGCACCTTATGATCACTTTTCACTTTTATGTAGTAGAACGAGGCGTCTTTTAGCACTGTACAATCGTCTTTTAATAGGCAGTCACATATCACGGTTGTACCACAAATGGAGTAAGTTGGTGAGGAGTAATCGAACCTGGTGTATCCGTGCAGAGATTTTGTCGTTCACTGACCCAGCAGGGTTGATCTGACTTCGCAAGTATGTGAAGTGGTCGCCGTGTTCTAACACTTCACTCTCTAATGTTAGGTAGCACAAAAACTTAGGTCATCACTGGATAGAGAAAGACTGCATCAGATGGTGAGAAACACATCTCAAACATTCTTAAACTGTTATGCAGGATGTCCAAAAAACTCTTCGTCTTGTCAGCATCTTCGTTTTACGGGACTATTTATAAGAATCCGTTGCAGTCACATAGATACATTCACGCTTCATCCTAATCTAAATCATATTAATTCACATCTTTGTTTCCCTGATATATTTTACTCACCATCTTGCAAACGACTACAATTTTTGGTGACTTTCCGTTCATATAGTTTCTTTCTCTTATCGAACCCAAGTTTGAAGCGCCGATGCCAAGTCATATTTATGACTGTCGTAACGTTATGCTAGGTACTATACTAAAGTTTGTGAACTGCTGACAGAACAGGAAACGTGACAGGTCAATGATAAAGCAGACAATAACGAACCATAAATGCCCTGAACTCTCTAATAGGATAGAGGACTATCAGGACAAAAGAGACTGCTATGACTGTGTATTTCCCAGTAATAAGGTGATACAACTGCTAGTTACATAGCCATTCAATGATACTATCAGAAAATGGTTAGCGATTTACCGAGTGGGGTTTTAAGTAGGTGAATTTGAATTAATTTGTGCGAACAGTTTCTAGCTTAAAAATTAATTGCAGACATTTAACGCAATCGAAAGGTTGTTGTGCAGTATTCAATATTATTCTCGTATCAAATAGATACATAACGCCTCATTTATCGCTTTTCAAAAATGTTTGCAAACTATAAGATCGACGAAACCATTTTGAAGTTTCAAGCTATCGACTAATCACTCGTGTTGTGTCTGGATGAAGTACAACTCTTTTCTGTTTAAGCAAAACTTTTAGAGGGCGATGTATATATATATATATATATATATATATATATATATATATATATATATATATATATATATATATATATGGTAAAAAGCAGTTAGTATCCATACAAGCTTTGAGAAAACTTATGTAAATGTTATCAGGACCCATAAGTTTCCTTTTATTAGGATTTCACAAAATAAATCTTCCTATTAATAAGGTGACCAATTAGATGTGGTCTCCCTGTTTTGGTCAGTAAAAGTTCAAAGAGCTCTCATCTTTATTACTAATGAATTATTGCAGAAACCAAACTTACAGATGGGTTGTTAATGGGGTGACTCAAGATTAATGAAGCCTTCAACAAAGTCAGAGGTGAGCATAGAAATGATGCTTTGCTTGAGATAAAAGTCGAAATCTGACAATCAATTTCCTAGCGTAAATTGAGGTATATGAATTCCTACTCACTGGGAGATTCAACAAAGCGAAAACTCAGAAATTGCTACGAGTGACGAAATCACACTTCAAATAAAACGACTGCGTTTAGGATTACGGATAATTGCTGACTCATTAAATTGGCACCCCAATCGAAAACTAACATCCACGCTAAGAATCAAGTCCTAAAATATCAAAGGCCAACAAAAATGAAATTCTAAAACATCGGCATGGGTCTATGACTTAGTAAGGAATGATCATTTGGTAAGAAATACACGACAGAGTTTGCCCAAATCCACTTAGGGAATAAGGATAGAAGCACGAGTGTTGAACGCAGTTAACCAATAGGATGTACAACACTAAGCCATATTTTAATGTACCTTGCTCAATTTAAAACGACAAGCATATGAAAACCAACTTGACAAGAGGTAAATGATGATCCAAATGTATCTTGAAATAAAATACTTGAATTCTGACCGGTATGGTTAATGATCAACAAATTTTCTTTAGTTTACTTAAGAACGTTCCCGTAAACTTTCATCGGATTTAAATTTTTTATAACTCAGTTACTAATCCCTGGGTAACCAATCAACATCATCGACAGGCTATCCAGATTTTAAGAATTCCTGGATCATAATCATCCCATGAGAGCAAATAAAATGCAACACATACACCCTTCTTGAAGAAAAAAATTAACGTATTCACTTACTCCTGGTTAAAATAACTATAAGGTGGTCAGTATGAACAGATTTTCAAAAGGAAGACCGAAAAGCAGTCATTCTTGACTTGGCATCAGGTTAGATTTCGGCCAAAATTTACGATGAAGTCGGTATATTATAGTCCGACCTTCAGCACACGACTTGCGTAAAAGGCGCGGCTTGACGAGGTCACCAAACTTGTTATTTGATTCATACTTTGAAGTTACAAGGATAAATGAAACAGGTCCAAGTTACTTTTCAAAAATATGAACAGCGCATGAATTTAGTTTTTTACTTTTTGGCCTCATTAGGAGAGCACATCAGGCAGCTAAATCCACTTTCAGGCCCATATTTTTCTCCTTGAGAGTATGCACTTCATGAAATGCCATACCGCGGGATTTAGTCATAGCCTCCTCTGTAGACTCATTCAAAAGATGGTTAGACTGTCATATCATTTCGTATGGCTTACCATGGAAGTACTCAGGGAGTTAATAACCTCATGAGCTCACCATCCACTCTACCTTCCACTCGCTACTTCTCTTCTTAATACACCTGGATTATCTACTAACTCTTCTCCGGCAAACAAACCCATGCTGTCTAATTTTACCTTTCGAGTGATTCTCAAACACCTTTCCTCACTGTTTTGCTATTTTTATTCAGGTACTCACTGAGACAGCAGTCACAACAGATCCCTAGTCATCCAGCAACCCACAGCTCTCTAATCATTCCACGAATTGCAATTTACTAACCTCTAGAGCATCCACCTCAAGGATGGCCAAAGCAAGAAAGCAGAATAGGTTTCTTTGTTCACCATAGCAGCAAACTGGACACCTCGGACCAAGCCCTAAAGACTAGGCGTGGGAGATCAGAAACTATCAGCTTTCTTAGCTCTTACGATCAATGTCAGATGCTGTTGGAATCTGCAGTGCGGAACAGATCTGTAGTTGCCTCAAAAGCGCAGGGATTACATGAAGGTGTGGTGGGCTCAAACATTTAACGGAAATGATATGAGTAGATGAAGCTTGTAGTTTCTGAGCCCTCGATTCCAGGCCTCTAGGCTTGAATCCTTTTAATCGGCCTTACTCCGTCTTCAGGAAAACACGAGTTTTGTTAGTTTACTTGTTTATAGCATTAGAGGTAGTAGTTATCTAACCGAGAATGATTTTCGCAAATTGTGGCTAGACTTGGTTGGGGTAGCAACAAAAATGCTGATAGGGTCGGCTAACGTTTTTCAAATCCCTTTTTTGCAAGCACCTGCAAATAACCGTTAAGCCTTATGAAAAAGGTACCGGCGGGGAATGAAAAAAGAGGAGCGAAACATACCAGCGGGGAAAATGTGTTGGTGGTGATAACGTGGAGAAAAGATGCGTCTTGTTGGAGACACTGGTGTTAGGGAACACTGAGTTGGATTGCCACACCTTCAACTGCTGCACAGGAATGTTCATGGTAAGCCCATACACTCATCGAGTAGTCGTTCGAAGGAGTTACCTGATGTAGCTGTGGCTACTTCCCTCGACAAAGCGTTCCGTAAGGCACGCACTCTGTATGAGAAGAAGTAAGATTTCACTCTCATCTCTAACCTACGGTGGGGCATATGGTTAGGCTTACCGCAAGACTGTCTTTTAGGGCTGATAACGTTGACCCACTTGGGTTGCGCATTTGGTAGGGGATCCTGTAGTCTGTTATTTGTTCCCCTCTTTTCTTTCTGCAGCTCAATGAAGGCGAACTGAGTTTCCTGAGGCGTTGCACCCACCTTTCGCCAGCTGGTCTTACGACAAGCCTTCTCGCCATTATCTGTGCCTTCTCCATGGTACTGGTGTCTCCCTTAATTAACGGGTGTCATCATGTTGTCTACCTCTAGGTGTGTTTCAACGGGTTTTAAGTGCCATGAGAAAGGATTTTGACATCCCCAGTAAATGGGAGGACAGGCGAGGGGATTTGCGCTGGGAGGTTGTGATGAACAGGGAAAACAGGAGAGGCTCTAGAGTCACGGCTTGAGAAACTTTTGTTCTTTCACTCCTGATGACTATGCGCGTTGTTAAGGCCAAGTAACTTCTTGCACCTAAGGGAGTTCGAGTTCTTGCATGATGTCTGTTTTCATTTTCCTTCGTATTTGTCTTAAGGTTGCAGGAGTAACCCAAGACTTTTTCAGAGATGGTCGTCTGATTAATTCCGGAACACTTTTTTGTTGCACTCCATTTAATACTTCTGAAATGTGTCCGGTATTCGTCCTCCGGTAGAGAGTTCCATTCTCGTGGCCATGGAGCTACGAGGAGTCCAGTATTGATGAACTGGTCATCAGCCTTTTGGTAACAGTGGAGCACCTCTGGTTCAACCACCTGCAGTTTCTCCCTAGGTGTTAGGGGGAACCTCCCCAATGACCGATCGCTTTTGCTTTTTGCTTTTGACAATATTCGTCGTAGAACACGTGCTACTTGAAAACGAACCAGTTTACGGGGCGTGATCACTTCGGTGATATAAACTCACTGTTATGTACAAAAACAAGCAACAAGTTAGACATCGGTACTTAAGACACATAAGAGACGACTTTAAAGAAAGAACTTTGATGTATCTCAAACGATAGGGAGTAGCGTAGCTAAACACCAAGGTTCAGTGTTCAGTGGATTGCAGCAATTGCAGTTCCAATTTAAGAATTGTTCAACCGCTGTTTGAACCATCGAATATTCTTGAAGTAAGAGCAGGACAGCGGCCGTGACGTTGGATCTTGTGCGTTCCTCACGAAGTTCTAGTTGCGTGGTGTGCATCGATATTTGCGATTACTAGGATTCAACATGAATGAAGGATTGGTCAGTTAGGACTGAAAAATAAATAACAAAAGTGACATGTAGACCAAACTCAAAATAGAGGCACAGAAATACTACGCGTCACTTGGCACATTGTTTTGCAGGACAAATGGCAAGGAACTCAGGGCTGCTCTTTGCGGAGCCTCACTTCTTGCTGGCTTCCAAGGTGACAGTTAGGAAACCATCTTTCCTCTTTGTTTGTTGGCCAGAACGATCTCTGTAGTCCATGTTAGTAAGTTAACGGTGATGCCAAAGCTTTCCCGTTTCACGAGTGACCTCGAGGAAGGTGATTTTAAGTGAATTCGTGAAACCTTTGAAAGTGACACCTGGCTGTCTTGTCATTCTTCAACACAATCAACGTTTTTCTGGCTGCGAAGAGGCTCGTCAAGCAAAGAATTTTCTGCGAAAGTCATGTCTTGGGGGCTAAAGTAGAGCGCTGGTCCCTAGGTGAACCGTGATGGCTGGCCTACTTGGCTACCCTATCTAGAATTGTTGCTATGGTGTTAGTTAAACTTATCGGTCTGCAATTTGTTAGGAGTGAACCTGACATACTTGTGGTCATATGAGGGTTGACCTTCGCTGACGGACTGTGCGATTATAATGTTCAGTGCGCAACCTAAGTAGGATATTAGCTCTCTAAAAAGCTTTGTATGCAGGTCATCCAGTCCCAGAGGCTTTCGCATATGCAGAGTACACCGAGCTCTAAATACGTCCAGGAAATCAGTGTCCAAGTAATTTATTTCATAGGACACCAGTCACGTGCAGTCGAGATGGTATCCACTGAACGCTCATAGGTAATCGTTTCTACTGAATATTTGCTACTTTTTCCTGAATGTATCCATTCAGATGTTCATTTCCATTCATTCAGTTAGTACAGGGATACTGTAACTGCCAAAATCCAATTATTTTCGTCTCAAGGCGGGAAACAGTTCAGTGGTGCCAAAACAACTGGATCCAGACAAATGCCTGCTTCTTAATGCACAGCTCCCGAACTTCCTTGAGTGACTTGCAAAGACTGGACCAACAATATCAGAGACACAACTTGCAGTGAATCGGTGATAGGTTCGTAACAAATCTGTGATATTATCAAAGCAACAATAAGTCATATCAAGTTTAAAATTACAAAATGTCTCAACAGTGCCGTCGAGTGACTTAACGATCCAAATGCCCTCGGGCACAAATAGGTACCATACAGCAAAAACTGGTTGAACAAATACAATTTTTAATTACCAGAGAGTCAATAAGAATAATCCAGAAAAAAGAGGATCTAAGACTCTGCCTACCAGAATCGAATCAGTGAATGAACGTCTCCAGCAGACAGTCAAGGGATAAGCAGTCAAATCACAGCGCAAAATGTCGTATGCAGTAAAACAACGTCATGTTGTCAGCGGTCGGAAATCACACAGTAGTAAAGTGAAGCACTCATGATGTCTCAATCAAATAAAGACAAACACCGAGTGTAAGGCCGAAGGAGACGGTCAAATGATAAACTAACACGGCTGGGGCCGAGGACACGATGCCCACAACGACAGCAAAAATATTCAGGTAAGTGTCAAAACTGTCGAACAAGGACTTTCAGGTCCTATTTTCCGCTACAGATACTATGATGCGATTCATTTTCTTAGTTTATTACTTGGCAGCCTGCTTGAACTTTAGGCTATCCAGTCTTCCTGCGCAGCATAATACATAAAATAACTACCCCCTATGGAGCTCCAACCATTCAGATATGTTCACGAGGCTCAACGGATATTTTGGCTCGCCTGTAGAATCGTTTCAACCTGTGCTCCACAAATTCGAGTTAAAACTGTGAGGAAGCGCCATTATGGATGATATTACGCTCCTGCCCGCACGACCACAGATCAGTTGACAAGCCTGCGGATACTTGGCGCAAGCTGTAGGTCCTCACAGAAAAAGTCAAACACCAATCATAATACGGGCCTACAAGCTGCAGGAAACATGGCTGCATATCTTTTATGGTGAAGACTTAGCTTGCCTAACTGCCTTCAAGTTGTTTCGACCAGATCAATGTACTTCTGAGAACAAGCTTGGGGAGTGTAGCAACATTGGACAGCATAAACCGGTACGCTTTCAGTTAATCACCCTTCAGATTCTCCGGCGGCGGTATTGGTTGCGCTACTACTCAATGTCGTCCTAAACATTTGAATGATTACAAAGATATTTACACAACAAACTTTTATGTCACACTTGACTAAAGCTTCCTTGAGTTGCCGAATTCCGGCAGCAAATTCACTGAATTTACCCATCCAGTTCAGAGTAATTCCTTGCCACTAGTATTCGGAGGTTTCAATCAATAGGGCCGCAGGTTTCGTATGTTTTTAGGCCACAAAACATTCGGTTAAAAGTTCCGGTTGCACTGAGGT